TCGAGACGGCTTGATGTCTTCGACAGTCGGGCGAAAAAAAGGGGGACGCTTTGGCCGAAAACGAGAAGATCAGCGAAGGGAGAAAAAGGAGGAAGCAAATGCATCCATCTGCAACAGAATTAATTTCTTCTTTTTAATACGGAAGTTTAAATAGTTAAACATGGCTTTTTGTCACGCTACAGCAATTTGCGTTGTGTACGCAGTATTGCAGCGGCAATGAAGTGGCTACAGAGGTACATATTTATCGTGTATCCTCTTGATCGAGATATTAAATGAATGCGATAGATATTAATTCGATGACTGCAAAATCAATGAATACTTCTCTCCTTTTGAATCTTCCTACTCTAATAAATTATATATGATAAATTGGAGTTGTTTTGATATTGGAATAACGCGGGTCATCATATTTTTATAACGACAAAATTAAAGTAATTAAGAATAATTTTCTAATTATTTAAAAACGACTACATTAAACACGTTATAATACTCCTCTGTTTAATGTGTTTAACAAATATTAACTTTAATTTTATTAATCACGCAAATTACATCTGTATCACATTTATTCTACTCTAACAGTATACCTGGATTTATCGTACACATTTCAAAGTATTTCTTTTTAATCGTTGTCGAAATAAAAAAAAAACTATACATGTGTATACATTTTATATATACATATACATACACATATACATACATATATATATACATATATGAAAACGTGCAAGGTCGGTGCTCGATTGCGGATCGAAACGGAATGCGGCGTTGATTCCGAAGGAGAAGAAGACACGTTTAATCGGACGCGTCCGATTTCGAGCTGATCTAAATTCTCAGCGGAGAAAACTAGCCCGCTCGCTAAAATCGTCAATCAATGTCTCTTGCCGCACCCCCGCCGCGCCCAGCATCCGGGCGCGCCCGCCACCCCCGATCCCACCCTTACGGCGGTACCACCGTCGATCGCTCGTCGTCACGCGAGCACACACAGCCAAAGGGTTGCCAATTATTATTCGCGGTACACTTCGCACCGTTTTGTTGTTCATCGGCAACGCCGTTTATTATTCATCGTTCATCATATTGCGGTGCCCGTTACAACGTGCAGTTACAACACGACGACGGGCAGAATACGCCGGGCCGCGTTGTTTCGCATAGCGTTACAGCGTTACGCCGACGTTACGAATGGCACAGAGGGCGAAAGCGCGCGTACTCGCTTATACCCTCGTGCTCTCGTACTTTCGTGCTCGCTCGCTCGCTCGCTCGCTCGTTCGTTCGTTGACGCTCTTGCGTGTACACGCGCGTGTGCGCGTGTCGGTATACCGCGTGTACGCTCGTCAAAATACAAAGTGAACACGAGTCCCGCCATGGGGACGTTTATTGTGCACTCGTACGTTGTTTTATCGGCGTTACATTACGCGATAGTTTTCAGTATACTCCTCCCCCTCCTCCGCGCTTCTTTTAATAATGCGCATTACGATAATATCCCTTTGTGGCCGTGAGCTCGGCGGACGGGAGGGTGGTCGCGCGGGGGTGCGGTTTTGATATTTATATACGTTCGACGTCGGGCTCGCGAGATGAGCCGGGTGTAAAATTCGCCGATTGCACGCCTCTTACTCGGCGATAATTATTTTGTAATTAAGCCAGCGTCGAGCTATTGGACGCTGGCTGATACAAAGCTTAATCCACGCCGGTACTCCTGAAGAAATTTCCGCGCGATATGCATTTATTATATTCCGATATTATGCGAGCGTGTGTCACTAAACAGAAAGATTAATTATACATCGGCAGGCTGCGAAAGTGAATTACGCGAGTGTGAATTTTAATTAAAACGAAGAAGCGCAAATATTTGCGGAATCTACTTTTTTTCGGTGCACGAGACGTTTCCCGCATGTACTAATTTTAACAAGATTCAGGATGTCGCGCAAACAAATGTCAATGTTCGCATATATTGTTTGTTTTCAATATAAAATATTTTTAATATGTTAATTCTTTCCGCTGGTGTAACATGCACAATATTGAAATATACATCTGCGGCATTCGTTGCGCATGTATAAAATTTATATGTAATGGATTCGGAGCCCGCTTGATTTGCTCTTCGTCGTATAGAAAATTATTAAATTGCTGTTTACAGCAGTGGATAAAGAAATGTTGCGCGACGAAAAAATGCAACAAGTTTTTAAGAGAAGACGTATACGTAATACGGCAAATAGATTATATCAATTGTACTATTTCACTCGTCCGGTAAAAATTACTCATCGCTTATATTCATATATTTCTACAATTTTGATTACATTATTTACAATATTAATCATGTTTATAATTTTAAAAGTTGCACCAATGTTGCATTATAATTTCAAAGAATGAGTTGCACTTAGAATGAATATTGTCCACATATTCTACCTTGTAATTATATGCGACCATAAATGCAAAATGTGAATATAGGATTCGTAATTCAAGGAATGCGTGTACTCAAATTTAGAGTCAGTCTCGCCCGGTAAATTCTGAGCGTGCGGAATAATGAGGACGAATGTCGCTAGCATAACTGGAAAGAGAGAAAAATCTTGGACGACCAAACTTTCGTATTAATAGGGGAAATCCGGAATGTCTCCGACACTGAGAATAAATCTCCGTGCCCCTCTCTCGCGCTCTTTCGTTCCAGTGGTATAATTTTAAATTGCCGCGAAATTTATGGAAACCGACTTCTGCACGCGTTCTTTTCTTTTTCTTTCTCTCTCTTTTGCTGCATGATTCAAGTTTATAAAATAATAAGCAACTCGAAACTTTCGCTTTTCGGGATGTCATTCGTCAAGTACAATCCACGAAAGTGCGTTTAAAAATTTCAGATGTATAGAATACAACGGATGACTTTTGCATTCAAAAACGCAATACAGAGCGGTTTACACAATTTTGTGCATCAAATTTTTAAACATCGTTATTGTAGATATACTATGATTTATATTTTTTTGTACTTTCTTTTTCTTCTGACATTAATATTGACAATAATAGAGAGAGAGAGAATAATAAATACTTTTTTATAAGTCTTAAAGAAAATGGTCTTTGTACATTTTAAATGAAATCTGTCATTATTCTCGTGATTTTTTGACGTCAATATAGGCGACTTTTAAAAATGTCTCCGGACCCCATTTGCCGGACAAAGTAATTTAACACGAATTAACATAAATCACTCAAGTTTCGTTCGTGGTTATTCGCTCGCTCACACGTTGGCTCGACAGTTTGCCATCCCTCAACCAACCCCGGCCGCCACCCATCAGTGTTACCCTCATCCGATTCGAGCCAACGGCCGATTACAACGTCCCGACAGAAATTTTCAATTTTCAAACTTTTCAGCCACGGGCTCTCGTACTTGTTCGAATAATTTCCAATCGACTGATTCCTTCCGCAATATCTTCGTCTTCCGCTTCATGTCAATATCGACGAGTTTACAATTTTCTATCGTCGAACTGCGACAGGTCGCAAATGCTCGATCTCCTAACTGTTGACGAAGAGGATCAAAAGTAATACATAATAACGGAGTCAAGCCATGCGGCAGAAGAATCTACGTGGCATTTTTCGTATAATATACAGAATATGTTCTAATTAATGACAAAGTAGATTATTTCACAAAATAGCCGGCTTTTATAATAAACTGTCAAGCATCCACGATCTTGTTAAAGATAAATTCATTTAGAATATTAAGAAAACAAGAGAGAAAATAATCTACCATTTTAATTAGAGATTATTCTACATAAGAATTTAATAGTATAAAAATGCTTGCGTTGCTTCTGAAAGGAGGTATGCTAAAGATTTAAGTTGATTGGCAAAAATATTCGCAATTTTTTTGTCTCGCACTCATCCCCAGGGAAGACGCAGACATGTCATTAATGCTCCGTGCATGCGTCTCACGTTAAATCTTCGCTCTCTCTTCAAGCTTTATTAACCATTTGCGGCGAGCTTGCCACTCGCTATCCAATAACTGGCGCGGCCAGCCAGTCGTTCCTTTTTATTATCTCGGATAAGACCAGGTATAGCACCTTCATTTGCAATGATACGCACGTACGCCGATCAGCTTTATGATACCCAAGATGCATTTTGTTCGTGATCGTTCAAAAACCTTTATTCATAATTTTCGATATGGGAATATAACATTAGCTTATCTAGGAGGAGTAAAAAATGCTTTATTTAGAATAATCTTTATTTGTTTCATACGGCAAGCATTGTTTCACACAGCAAAAAAATTGTGCAATTATTTCCATAACGACTGAATTCTATTTATCGATAACGGTTGAAGATGCTGTTCTCAAGACCGGTTAGAAAAAGAGTGATTGTATTTAACAAAACAAGTTTCTTTTCTTGTAGATCTCCATGTAAGATTCATACAGTTTGAGATGAATATGTTCTTTCGTATGCAAATGACACAGCATCATTTTTGATGATATAAAACTTGCGCGATTTTATTAATATGCTCAAAGTAAAAATTAAATTCATTGATAAATTCTCATTATAATGAAACTGTATCTGTATGAAAGTATGTATTATAATTTATAATTTTCAATTATTTCTTGACACGCAATTCATTTACAAATTATTGAATTATTTTATCTTGTTTAAAATCTTTTATACGAATATAAATATATTTACAAATAGAATAAAGAATTTTTAAGATATTTGCAAATTAATTAAACTAATCAAATGAAATTATATAAAATCAGATAAAATCGATTCTTTTCCGTCTTTACAATTTTCCTAAAAATATTTTGAATTATTTCAAGATATGATCTTTAAAGAATAAGCTTTCTTTCTTCGTTCGCATAAAAACGAATAACCGTCTATCGTTGAACGAGTTTTGAAATCACGGACCACCGCGGACTCGTTTCTCCACGCAAGGGATGTCGTATCTCGTCTAGGGAGAGAACTCGTTTTCTCGCGAGAACGTGACGCTGGACCGCGAGGGATGCTAACGTCTCGCGGGGATCGTCGTAACGGCAGCGGCAACCCCCAATGGATGGACGATGGACGATCCAGTTTTTTGGAAGGAACCAGATGAACCGGTGCAGACCCCACCTGGACTAGCGGACCCCCAGCCGTTATTCAGGTTTTTACGCTTGTCCACGAAGTGCCTTTGATATTCAAATTCGGCGGCGATTCACGCGATCGTAAGGATCGCGAAAATCACCTTTGGCGCTTTTGAGCCCTCAGTGTCGTCGCGGTCGCGTTGTCAAAGAGACGGAACACAGAGAGGTTTTTGAGTGAAAAAGAGTGTCGACACTATCTCTAGCTGACATTCTGTGAATAAAGAATTCTTCTGCTTGCGCAAACTTTGATGTACAAGAGATAGGCATTCGTTACAATCTTGTGTTACAATCTTTCTCTCTCTGATTTATATTTCACGAGGTGAGTACAGATACGATCGTCAACGGACAATTTTACATTGGCGTGAGATTAGAATTGTGATAAAAATTTGTGTATTTTAGAATTGTTAAAGTTCGTCTATCAATTACATTAATATTTCTATCGAGCTATTTGATATATCAATATAAGAAAGTCTAATCTTTAAATAATAAAGTTTCCTTGCATAAATCATTTCCTTGCTGGTTGGATTTATTAAGCATTATTTTTGTATCTTTTTTTTAACTTTTTAATCTGATAAATATTAAGTGTGTATTTACCCATTAAATACATGCATTTATAATAAAACTATTGTTTTCATATATTTTTATACTTTAATTAAAATTACATTAATTTTTTGTATTTTATTCATCATAATCTGCAATTATTTATTTGGTCAATTAAAATGTGCTAGAATGAATATTTAACATATTTCTTGTTTATTATATATACATTTAATATAAATTTAATTAAAAGTATTTTACTTCTTGCTACTTTTTCCTTAATCTGATCTTGAAATTTTCTAATCGATACACTCTTAAAGTAAAGAAAATAAAAATAGCATACACGAATAAATCGCTTAAAAAGAAAGAAAGACCAGCGTGCTAATAAATCGGTAAATCGCGAGTTAATTCCGTTACGTCGGGGTGATTCTGAGCGATTCGTTCGAATAAAAAAGGAGAAGGCTCGCGCGCGCAGGCCAGATGCAGGAAAAAGGAAGAAGAGTGGACGCTGCCGGGACGTTGGCGAGAGCGGCTTTAAAGTGATCTCGACGAGTGAGAAAAAAGAACGCGTTGCGGGATGATGGAACGGCGAAATAAAAAGAGAAAAGTCCGAAGAATTCGATAAACATCGAAGCAGCCTAAAGAGCTTAAATTCGGAGTTACGTCGCACATCGTAGCACATATTTTTTTTTGTTGCTTACTATTATGTGTTCCAATAGAGAATTCCATTATTCTCATATGTTTGTATAACGAAAAGCTACAATCTTAACAAATTATTTATTATTATATAAATTATCCATTATTAAGAATATTTCTACAAAATCCAATCTTTATAATGTAATTGTAAAAAAAATAACTGCTCCAAATTTATTTACAAATTTTTTTCTCATTTATAATATAAATATCGCCAATTAAATAAATTTCCATTTTCATCCACTTTGCAAATTGTAACAAAACGATGTTTTTGGAAAAAAAGCGTTGCTAATCTCGAAATTGTTGATCTGGCGATCAAACAGTATCGGTTGTCGATGCTCGCATGGTGCATTTTGAAAATGTAAAAGCAAATTCAAAGCTGGTCGACGCTATGGCGTGAATTGCAACTAAACTAAACCGCGTTTCGTCGTTCAACTTCCCCCCATCTCTCCTGATTCTCTCCATCGAACCTCTCTTTCTATCTTTTTTTCTCGTGCCAACAAACCTGCATATACCGTCTCTCTCCATCTCCGACTATCCCGCGGGAGAGCGGTTAAAATAAATGAGCGGGCAGCGCCGGCCTTAAATTAGCGCCGGCAGGGGTGGTTTTCACTTCTACCCTTAAATTAGGACTAAGCCTCGTGCCTCCAAGTTTCACGGTTTTGATCGGATGAATTACCGCCGCTGAAAGTTACAGCGACGGGGATTAACGTCCGCCTTGCTCGCACCGAGGAATACCGCGCGCGGATGTTACAATGCGTTGGTGAACACTCGAAAAAAATGATCTATTCTTGCGTGATAAGTTAAATGTCGCGCGCATATTATACAATAAAGTTTCACGTATAATGGAATACACATTCTTAGAAAAAAAAAAAGATAGATTACCGCGCAGAATGAATCCGACCATCGATTCTTTTATGAAATTCTTTTATTCAGAAATAACGAAAAAATGTTGAATCTTATTAATGTAATGTTGCTGCGTTTCAATAGAATTTTTAAAAATAGATTTCTATATTTATCTTTATATTTTTATATTGATTATAATTGCATTTTTAACATCAGGAATGAAATTTAATATCAACAAGTATATAAAAATTAAGTAAGGATATCAGAATGTGAGAAAGTCTCGTTTGATGAACGAATGAACGTGTTCGTATCTCGAGAAATTCTGTCACGTTGCAATTCGCCGCTGTACGCCCGATTTCGCGCGGTCGCGGATCTAATTGGCTAACCCTCTTCGTCCACGTGCCCCGTCCCGCGTTGAAACCTGGCGCACCGTATCCGTCGACGAAAGTTCACCCCTCTGACATCGAGACCAATCAACGGCGCGATGAGCGGACGAACGGAGACAGGAAGTTGGAAAAAGAGCGGGAGAGGAAGTTAGATGAGTCAAGTGGGTGGTAGCGGGTGCTGAAAATCAGTCGTAAAACCGCGCGTGAAATGGAATCGCGTTTAATCCAATAGCGGTCCTTAATAATCGAATAAAGCTAGGTCCGAGAAATCGCGTCTAAGCAGACTCCGGGATGGGATACCCATCCTGGCAGAGGGAGATGGGTGGCTGACGAAGGTGGGTAGTCGATGCGAGAGAAGGTGGCGGTGGCATAGGAAATTTAGCCACCTTCTCCTCCTTTTCCAGGAGCTCCCTTGGTGTACGTCGCGCGGCTCGGTCGCGGCCATGTTGCCAGAATTGCCACCACCTACCCCCTTTCTCCCTCTTAATATCCCACCGCCTAGTCATCTAGTCCTGCCGGGTCCGCTATGTAAATGTGAACCAACCCGACCCTCCCTCCTCGTCGACCCCCTATATACCCTCGTCCCTCTTCTATCCCTTCGGCTCACCGGGCTCGCCGCTACCCCCCGCGAACTGCCTCCAACTAGCAGCCCCTAAATCTAAGTCCGCCGGAGCGGTACACTCTGAGTAGAAAACGCTGTGTTCGGTTGGTTCGTCTTTGAACTGTAGAAAATGCTCCTTGTTGCTTATTCTTTTCTTGGAAGAACTTTGATAAAAGTGAAAGTTATTTTAACGCATGATTTTATTACAGTAAATTGCAAGTAACATATATATATTAATAAACTATATATAACGTAAAATTATTTAAAATATTCTTTAAATTTTTGTGACATTTTTTAAATGTATTTGAAAAATTTTTTCGACTTTTGTTTCATTTAATGAAATTAAAGAGGAGATTGAATAACGTAAGAATATCTTTAACAAATACTTCTTAGAAGAATACGAATGAAGTATTGTAAATGTAAAGTATCACAAATGTTTTCTCTCTCTCGATTGTCTTTATTCTCAGAGATTATTCGAAAAAGTAAAAATTTTCTTTTTGCATCAACCGTTTCTATAAATTGCCCGAATAATTAGTATTAAATCGAAGATTATTTAAGCAGGGGAACCTCGTATAACGGAGTAATGAAAGCATTACATAACTGCGGCTCCTCGTATTTGCCTTCAGGCATCCGTTGAAATTCATCGCGAGAAACGACCTCACGTGCTTTCCATATGCCGGATAATAGAAGAACTTCTTCCGTCGCGGCCTTAATTAATTGCTTCAAAATCTGTCATTTGACTTTTCCCAAGATTCTGCTGCGTTCACGGCAAATACATGTACGATATATACACATTGGTACCATACGTATCCTGCTATGTATCGTCGCCGCGCGTAATCACCGTTCGCTTCTCATCCGACGTTCTCTTGCCGTAATTTCGTCGGGATGGGTTGAGTCATTACGCCCAAAGAACTAACAGGAATTCCCAGATTGCTGCAATCCCTAACCCTACTTCTCCTCTTTCTCCTACTCTCATCCCTCCCTTTTCCCCCCTTATCCTGGAAGTCCCGTTGGCTATCCTACCGGTATATACCACGGTATACGGTGCACGGAAGGGCGCCATTACCCCACGGGCAGCAAGTTCTAAGCGCGCTAAATAATGGCCGCTAGAAATTCAACGGGGGGTCGAAATGCCCGTATGCCGCTACGAGTATACTATCACAACTACCGCCGTCCGGACTTGCGCGTGTACGTGTGCTCGTATTCCGTTGCTGGTGTCCACCCTCGACGTCTACGTGGGAGTGAGTATTAATTTAGGCACGTAGTCCTTTCCCCGGCGAGCTAAGAAAAATGCCTGTACGTTGGGGAACTGGCCCGTTAGAATTTAATCTCACGTCATAGGGGGAGAACGGTGTGTTCATCGACGCGTGCGTGTAGACGCGACCGTGAGGGTGTAGTGAGGTATATGTGAGGCGGTGGCGGTCAACGGAAGGTTGGAAGAGCCCGAGAACGAAATGGGAGGAAAGGGGGACATAAGAAAAATGCGCGGGGGAGTAGGAAAGACCGAGGAGGTGGACGGACGTTTCGTGGGATGGGAAGGGTGAGAATGTGGTAGAACGGGAGAAACGTTTCGAAATCGCTTACATCCTGTGCACCGTAACTCTCGAATAAAAAAAAATATATATATATGTATATATATATATATATATATATATGTATATATATATCTATGTACATATGTAGCGTGAGTGTAAAGTTGTAAAGTTAACGGTTGTCACGTACGCTCGTCGATTCTCTTGCCGTATTATTTTTTGGACGTCGCATCGCCAGGTGATTCTACTGTCCGATGAGCGTGTGTCAGCGACATCAAAGCAGTGATATTGCCCGAACAGCTATACAAATATTGCTATTTTTTAATTATACGAAAAAGAAATAATATGCTATTCTGTTCTCACATTGTATGTATAGTTTGTTTCAAAATTTTATTGCATTAATTCTATACTGACTATCAATAATA